AGACTTAACCCATCAGTGTCTTCTTGTAGTTTGAGATGGAATTTCTCTTCACTACCTTTTGCTTCTCTTTGGACCAAAAATTTTATGAGGGTGGATGTTGATCTGGACAGAGTCAAGGAAACTGAGCATAATCTCCTACTAATTTCCAGATTACATTCTACATTTGTGCCAAGTTTTCACATGCCACAGATACTTGGTCAGGTGGATCTGTGGTTTATGAAAATGGGCCAACGTGCAACATGGATCCAAGTCCAATGTCAGACCAGCCTAGTGAAGCTTCCTAACGTCAGGACAAAGACACAGGTCAGAAAACAAGGCACCAGAAAACATATTAAAACCACACAGAGGGGCGCCTGGATGACTCAGTGTGTTAAGCCTCTGCCTTCAGCTCAGGTCACGATCCCAGGGTACTGGGATCAAGCCCTGCATCGGGCTCTCTGCTTAGCAGGGAGCCTGATTCCCCTGCCCCCTTCTCTCTGCCTGCCTCTCTGATTACTTGTTATCTCTGTCTGTCAAATAAATAAGTACAATTAAAAAAAAAACAACACACACGGGGAGGGGCACCTGGGTGGCTCACTCGGTTAAGCATCTGACTTCTGCTCAGGTCATGATCCCGTGGTCATGGGATCCAGCCCCACATCAGGCTCCCTGCTCAACAGGGAGCATTCTTCTACCTGTCCTCCTCCCCCTGTTGTGCACTTGCTCTCTCACGCTCGCTGTCTCTCTCTCTCTCCCTCTGTCAAATAAATAAATCTTAAAAGGTAAAAAAAAGTGCCCGAGGAAGGACTTGCAGGTTTAATGCTAACACAAAAGAGCTTGGAAGATGTCACTGCCTTGATTTCAACAAGAGAAAGCTAAACAGATTAAAAATCAGCGACTTCTCAGAGAACTGAGGTTTGAAGGCAAACCCCCAAATCTGCAGAGACAGATGCATCTGTACAACTACAACAACCAGTACCTCCTTCCCCAGGGCTGAAGCTCCTAAGCCGCAAACTATGAGAAACACTTAAAAGGTAAGCAAGGTAAACTGCTGGCATATAATTGTGGGTAATAGGATTGTGAGAAACTCATAGGGACCATAGCCTGGGAAGGACCCCACACTTTCATGGGCTTTTCTTCCAGGAAACTCAACAGATTCTCATCATGAGGACCCGAGAAAGCTCCCTTCATGTCTCTGGCAGGAAAGGGGCAAGGTCACCACTGTGAAATAAGCCAAGAACCTTCTCAGTAACAAAGACACGCTTACCCTCCAGAGGAAAGGACTTCGCCAGAGCCCAGCTCTCAAACTTAGTCTGGGCTCCTGTGGTCTTCCTGTCTCACTAAGGAATTAAAAAATAATAATAATAACATAATCAACAGGGCCCAGGCCTTCATGGAAATGGATTGAAAGCTTGACAACCAGGGATAGGAGTAGGGAGCAGAACGGGAAAGCAATTCTATTGGAGAAATCTTTGTGAATGTCACAGACCAAAGACACATCAAAATCTGTAATAAGAAATTTTAGTAACATCAAGAGAAAATTATAGAGTTCAAAACCGTACCCAATCATCTGATTAAAGAAACATAGTTTTATTCACTAGAGGTGCTCTTGAATACGTAGGATAAAGGTTGTAATGAACAAGTGACTGACTAAGGAGATCATCTTAAGAGTGAATTTCCAGAAAAATTAAAAATAAGTTGAGATTCTTTTAAATTTTGAAGAGTGAAGAAAGTTATCAGATCTTCTCAAATTTTTGTCTTACAAATACGGTCTTCCAAGATTTGGAGAATTTTGCTTGACATTTTAAATTCAGGGGATATTTTAACTCACAATCCAGAAAGGACCTTTCCTTCTTTGGCCACATGTGCAAGATTGGCACTGCCTTCTCATTGCTTTCTTCCTTTACTTTTGTTTCTACACATCAAGTGGTACTCAGTATAATTTTATGACATTTATATTATTTTAATTAGCAGTTTTCCACTAAACATGGACAAAGTTCAACTCAACTTACTTGGAATGTTGGAGGTTATATGTTACAAAGAAATTGATATTTTGTGTAAAGACACGCCTGTCTAGACATAAGTTACAGTTTTAAAAATCAGTAAACTGGACTGAAGTTAAGTCCAAGAATAATATGCAACGGATGTGTTCTTTGGGAGGCAGGTGAATCTTCATATCCAAATCCAATCTCAATAACACTATTAAAAATGAACTGTTGGCTACTATTCCAGTACTCCTGAGAGTACTGATATGGATTATAACTTGTATTTGTCTATTCACTAACTTACTCAGAAGCAACCTTGGATATATCTGGATACACTGGTAATAGATTCAGGTATTACATAAGGTCCTGAATTTATATTAGTCTATCTAAAATGTGCCATCCTGCTTATGGACTGCTGGAGTTGCCACATTTCCTCCCCATTTCCCAAACATTGGTGTCCAAATGCTGTTATAATTCACCCCTATCATCTCATTCAAATCAATTAACAGTTTTTCTAGAACAGTCAACATGAGCTTCCAAAGATTACAAGAAATACCCCCGACTCTTCCAAACAGAAACCCAAATATTATAGGCTTCTCACTGTTCTTTGTTCAAGGCACTGAGTAACATTTGCAATCTGGAACCTCATAGCCTTTTGTACTGGGGCATTTTTGAGAATTGATCCCAGGTTTTATGTTCCTTTGTCTTCATTTTTTCTGACGGGAGACAGAGGATGACAGTTCTGCAAGAAGCTATTAAGCACCACTGCTTAATGACCCAAGTCTAGGGTAACTTTTTCAGGAAGTTAAAATTGTTGGAAACATCTGCTGCATCACAGAGAATCTGGGGAGATTATCTAGGTCACTGGTGAAGAGTTTGAGATAAACTTACAGTAAATACAGAACTATTGTGAGCTAAAGAGAGACAATTATTAGCTCTAGGTGAAAACCAAAGTTCTGTAGGAGAGAAGCACAATATTTACCATTTGTTCCAGCTGAGAAGAGTATTGGCAAAGTCATAAAAACATAAACACCAAATACTGAAATAACTCAATTTTAATACAAATCTTTTGGAAGGGTGGGCACATGAGAAAGTTGTGGTGAGTTCATGGAGAAGAACGCATCCACATCAGTAAATAATGTCTAAAATTGAAAAAAAAATCTAGTGATATAACCTGCTCTTCAGAAAAGTAGCAAAAAATAAAGTAATTGGAGGAAGTGAAATCTGTTGTCTCAATGGAGGGAAAATGTGAAGGGCGAGAAACAACATTTTTTTTTCCAAAAACCCCTCATACAGCACTTTGATTTTGAACTACATGCACTTTGAAAATGCACTGAACGTTGAATTGATATTGAAGTTATAAAGCCTCAGTGGTTTGAATTTTTTCTACATTTAACTCTTTATGTTAATATTATTCCTCTTAGAGGACTTTTTTCCTAATATTCTTTGATGGCAAATAAAACTAATGATGGTGAAACACTGCACTTTATTCATTCAAACAACAGAATTCAGTATGTCAAGGACATTGAATGCCTTACAAAACCAGAGAATCTGAAATCACACATAAAACTCGAAAAAAATGTTCTACACAGGATGATTATATTACTCATCATTCAAACAGGGACAATAGGCAAGACATGGGAATTACTGCAGACATTCATCTCACAGATCCCCAGATTAGGTCTTTTATGACCACCCCTTCCAACACAGTTAGTGCTTTGAATCTGAAATACTATGTAAACCAACCTTAAAGATTTGTAAAATTCCCTTAGAAAGTATTGCAGCAAATTCTAGAAGCCACAGCTCTACATATGAGTCATGAGCAATAGAAAAGTTTTTTAAAATACTTGATTTTATGTTTCAGATAAATGTATAAGAGCCCAGAGACTTGACTTAAAATAATTCCAGTGAAATGACCAGTGGAAACATATATTAATTTATGCAAAAGCCTGAATGTGAAGATCAACACTTTCTAGGCACTACATTCTAATAGTGGCCAAACTAATGGTGATACCTGTGTTATAAGTTTGCATCACTTTATATTTCCCAAAGATGTTTTTTCACTATTGTGGAAAGAAGCTAAAGATTGTACTCACAATTAAGTGCCTCCATCTGAACTTTATAAACATTGAGTTCTGCAACACCTCCAGTCTTACTGAAATCTCATACAAGCAGTACAGAATATAGCACATTATTATAAATCAAGGAGAAGCACTTTGATTACAGCAATTTCTAATTACAATGTGGACTCTACCGGTTTGGTGAATTACTGTAACACAGCTGCAGATGTGACTTAAGATAGTTCTATATAAATCAACATAACTTGAATATTTACAATGAAAGTAAACCTACTAAAATTATTTTTTATCTTCCTTTGACTTGTAAATTGATAGCCAATGTATTTTAAATGTATACGTATAATATTTTAGTAATAAATTGACTTCCTTAAAAATCCTACAAATGTAATATTTACTAACTAAAGAATATAGCTTCATCTGCTGCCTCACATCCATAAGCATAATTACAAGCTAATGAAATTTCAATTCTATTTTCTCAGTGTGCATAAAGGCCTTTAAATAATGTCTCAAGGTCTCTCTGATGATAATAGAATCAATACCTAGTCATCGTAGGTTAATGGCATGTGTTCTTTCCCCAACAAAACTGCATACTCTGTAATGACATTTAACAAACTTACCTAACTTGTCATCACACAGCAATTCCCTTTAATCGGTTACTTTCATGTAAATATTCAAATGTACATTTATGGCATTCAAAGGAAACATAGATTTTTATGTAATATATTATATATCATCATAAATTATATATGTAAAAAAGAATGCAAGGAAGCATCTTGCTCCCTAAGTAGCACCTTTCAAAAAAGATTTAAAACATAATTTAATTCAATTCTGACCTTTTATTCTGTGGAACAGTTTTAATCAGTTTCCTTAGGAATCACCAGAATAGTAGGTACAAGAGATTAAGGGAAAATACACACACACACACATAAGTGTGTGTGTGTGTAACACATATACACACGCAATATACTATACATACCATGTATTATTTCTATAGTAGGTGTATATATATATGAGAGTTATAAAACTCTAGCTAATTAGGAATAATGTTAAACAGACAATAATGAAAGTACTTCATTAGTAAGTAAAGATGTCCAGGGAAAGAACCTTAGTGAGTAGAATTTCATCAGCATGAACAGCTGAGAGTGTAATAGGACCAGCGGTGGGGTCGGTGGGGGGTGCAGAGAAATTCCAGCAGGACTAAGAAGAGTACTAAATGCCTGAAAAATCCTGAGCTCTGCAGAGGAGGAATACACGAAGAAGACGGACAGAGGATATAGTTCTCATAAATATTCTGAGTGACAGATTAAAGAAAAAGCAAAACATGCATGGGAAAAGAGACCGGTTTTAAACGGTCTGCAGGCTCTGCTGTAGAATCTTCCATGAGGGAAACTTCCAGGACAGTGGCATCTGGTTGTACTTTGTACCCGGCATCCCCCCACACCCCATCATCTTCTCTGTTCAAGTGGGATTTTCATTTCCCCATATTGCATTGGTAGAAATGCTTTCCTCCTCACCCATATTAGTCACTGAGAATTTGGAAATACCTCATGAGAGTGGACATTTTTGCTTTTTCTCTTTTGAAGCCGGCAGGGGCACCCACAATTTCTGGGATTCACAGAATCATTGCTCTATTGGGTGCACACAGTAGTTAAAGCTATCATCATAAAATATCCATTGACTCACTTAAGACTGTAAATTGCAGCATCAAATCTGCCTAGATACCATGAGAATTTGGTTTTGGTTCACTTAAAATTATAAAAACCTACAACTTTGATACTTACATGCAATTTTTGTGGTGAATGTTTTAGAGATGAGTAATAAATATTTGAGACATGAATGATCACTCTCTTTGGTAATGACCACTGTGATTTCAAGGTGATCATGATCCTTATTTAGCTTCAGAACTACTTTTCATTGTGTGACCCCATCTAGAATGTGGACAATGGCAGGACAGCCACTAACTACTGTGTATTGACATCACTACGGTTGTCTTTGGCCAAACTGTAAAGGAAGACAAGGTTCTCTCTGTATCTTCCTATTCTTTGTTCCCTGTTCCTCCTTCCCTATAGGCCTCCAAGGTTCTTCCCCATCATGTTTCTACCACAACCCAAACCACACTTGCAACTAACATTCTTTTTCTTATATTCAGATTTCCCATAATTATTAAAAAAGAAAAACAACTGATAATGCCTAGATGCCTGACTCTTCTGAGAGACTTCACATATTTAAAAATAGTTCTCAAAAGTAGAAAAATTCAATATCAAAAACATGAAGTTATTATTGGACCATGTACTACACTTGCTCATAAAGCTAAGCCAGAGAGATTGGAAAGAATTCCAGGCAGAATCAGGGATTCCTTCATTTGATAATAGAAAAGGAAGAGATTTCCGTGTTCTATTTGTCTTCCTCTTGACCATTCATTTATTTCTGCTGCCAACTACTCTTCTGGACTATGCTGATAGAGCAGATTTTAAAGTGGGGGGAGAGAGCACTAACCCAGATCCGTCCACATGTTCTCTTCTCAGTTGGTCAACAGGAGATGTTTGGGAATGGCTTGCAGTCCACATTTGTTGGTCACCAGCCAACATCTCCCCATCTCCCTCCTCTAATAATACTCTGAATTCCCTGGTAATGTGCTTTGGCCTCAGTCCTTGTTCTAGAGGTGAACCCTTAATTGACTTAAGCCATTTCATCCTTTCCAGTCATGATGCCTGTTCAATGATGGTCAAATAACCGAATCCATTTACTTTATCAGAGAAGTAAACTCTCTACCAGGCAGAAACAAGGATTGAGAATCGCCAAGAGGTGCTGGAAACACAAGGAAACACGTGAATAAGAGTTAGGCTAACACCAATACAGTGGATCCAACACCACGAAAGGAGACCCAGAAACAGGTTTATGCCCATACTTAATCCAATATGTGACATTTAAACCTTCAGAAATAACTCTTGTCTGAAGCTGGATCCCCCTGGATTGTTCCATTATGTGACTCAGCGAGTTTCCCTTTACGTATATACTAATGAGAATCAGGGTTTCTGAAACATTTCTGTTAAGAATGTTCTTCAGGTTATAAGGTATTTTTCCTATCAAATTAAATAAATGTAACCATCTAGTATCCAGGGTAGGCACCAAGTAGTGGGAAAAAAATAATATAAAATAGTCATCATAAATCTGCTCAGCTCAAGGAAAATGCTTAGATTCTGGTCTTTGGCCTCTGAGAGAAGGCTGGGTAGTTGACATAAATATCCTCTCTTGCACCATCCGATGACTGATTGGTAGAGTCGGGATTTCTGTAGTTGTTGGCTGCCTAGAAAGAGACAGAATGTCAATGATTCACTGCATTTCAGCAGCCAATAAAGATACTCAAAACCAATCTCTCCTCAAATCGACCACAGTGTAAGTCAAATTTCTATTATAATTAATCTCATAAAACATGCCCTTCATTGTACTGAACTTCTATGAAAAATCACATTTTTGACTTGCTGGGCTCAGAGTAAGACGCAGCAGGAGGCTATTCCAGATTGTCACTTGCTGTATTAGACTATGAAACACTTAGTCTTGGAACTCTTTCCCAATATCCCGGGCTGTTTTGATAAGAACTATCAGTCTCATTTTTATATGGGAGTCTAGTATAGTATTTCCCATAGTGGGTACTCGGTAAATTCTTTTGAATGAACGCTTTAATAAATAATACTTTCAAAGCACACAGTGTCATGTCTTGACAATAAGCAACTAAATGCAATAAAAGAAATTAACAAAACATACTGGCATTACTTTCAAGATGATGTCATATACTCATTAACATTCTCTACACTAATCAAGTCACTGTGACCACCTACACATGTATGTGGCAAAAAATATATAACCATGGGTGAGACAGAGAGAAACTGAGAGGAAAACAATAGGAAGAGAGAGGAGGGTCTTCTGGTGAGTACTTTGGAAATTGAGAGTGGTTTGGGTGCTTACAAAGAAAAAGCAAAAGGAAAGCTGCAGTTCCACCGGTAATTCCAGAGCCTGCTGAAAACCCCAAAACAATCAAGTAGGTCAGTTTCTTTCTCTTTCACAGTCCAACTTACTATCTTTCTAATCATCGTTCAAAATATCGTTACTCTACCAAAGTCTGAACAAGTTGAATACTTAATGTAGGAAGTTGCAAAGCTCCTTCCCTCCCCTGACATTCACAGCAATAAATGTGGCTTTATATTGGCTTTAGTGGACAATGGTGAAGGACAAAGAAGGGACCCGAACACTGCGTAGGGCAGCACTGTTGCATCACTTGCTGGAGTGGTAGATGAGACAAGGCAAAGACTTCTTTAGTCTTTCCAATTACTGTCAAAAAGCCAGACATTAATTATTCAGAAAAAAAAATTTTGTTGTGTAGAGAGTAACTAATAGAAGAAAAATTTAAACTGAGAAACAAATAGGTAACAGAAATCTGAAGCACACATATTAGATTGTCAGAAAAGTTTTATTACTTGATGTTTTGGTTATAATAGAATTCAATTGCAAATAGTAAACTGAAGAGAAATTTATGTAATTTTAGATAACACTTGGGGAAATGATTTGCTGTAAGATTGTGTAAACAGGGGTGCCTGGGTGGCTCAGTCAGTTGAGCGTCTGACTCTTGGTTTCAGCTCAGGTCGTGATCTAAGTGTCATGAGATAGAGCCCTGCGTTGGGCTCCATGCTCAGTAAGGAGTCTACATGAAGATTCTCTCCCTCTACCTACCCCTTTCCCCCACTCTCTCTCTCTCTCTCTCTTTCCTTCTCTCTCTAAAATAAATAAATCTTCTAAAAAATTTTTATAAACAGAATCATATATGTTAAAGAGAGAATCTGGCCAATAGTGGAGACAATGACCATGAAAGTAAGACAAACTATTTCAAAGGGCGTCAATAATAAGAGAATAAGTCAGAGAACAGGTGTTTCCTCAAATAGCCGATCTACTACATGGCCAGGGAATTGCGAGGAGAACAAAATTGTCGACTCCAAGATGGACTGACTTTACAGGATATTACAATGCACAAAAGGGGGGAAAAGACAGCTCTGAGAAAACTTACCTTATTCTGTGCATCACAGGAGTCTTTAAATAGTTTCTTCTGACTCCTTCTCCTGAGAAGACATATTCAGTAGAGGCATTAAGATCTACACCCCAGCACTAGGATTACTGCATACAGTCATGCACCTTACTTGTACCCCAGCCTACATGCCCTCACTAAATATATTGAAGTTGCTTCACACATACTTGCTCAAAATTCCCTTAACCTAATTCTTCACTTTCCACAGATGGTAAAGGCATCTAAATGGATATCCAGCCAGTGTATATTAGTAATTAATCTCAGCAGCTTACTAAAGAATGGTTCATAGTAGGTTATTGCATAAATGGCTTATTGCCTTTTCCAAATAACCTTGAGCTTAGAGATTTCCCACAATTAAAAACTTCCTTTTCAATGCCAACTGTGTAACTTCTTGAATGACAGTGATAATAGAGTTAAGCTTTAGAGAAACTTTCAGGTGTTTTACTAGACCTCCTCAACGGATTATTTTATGTAGCTTTCATCAAAAACTCTATCTTTAACTCAGATTGGGAACCAGAGGCAAGAGAGGAAAAGTAACTTGCCCTATGTCATGTGGTTGGTTAGTGGTAGTATCAGGATTTGAATCTACAGTCTTCCTTCATGACTATCAGGCTCACTACTTCTGGAGCCATGATGCCACAGTTCCTTGGGCCATCTGGAGCCATGCTATTCCGTAAACTCTCCACCATTCCAGTGAAAACTATAAAACCTAATGTCAGGAGGAATCTTTGAAAATTCAAGAGAAGAAGAAAAGAGGCCACGATAACTGAACATGCACTGGACAAAAGGACTCTACCCCAAGTGCAGGAAGATATATTACAGGAGATGACGACTCTTTTTTTCACCCCCCCTACAAAAAAGACTTTTATCAGACCACAGAGGAGATGGGTTAGATGCAAAAACGTAGGGTTTTTTCCCTTTATGCAAAAGGATGAAGTTGTAATTCCTTCACAGAAAGTTTAGGAACCAGCCACGCTTCTCGCTCTCCAAGGAAAGGTTATTCAGATGATGGATGCTGTTCTCTCCTCGTTGTTGGGAAATCCTCCTACTGTGTCGACATCATCACAGATTGATCTTACTCTGTGTGTATTTGTTTACTTTCGAAGAATCTTTTACGCAATGAATTTATTTAAATTTTTGATGTGTAAGTTTGTTATGTGAAGGTGATATTTCCAGGTCTTCACATAAATTATTTACTCCTCAAAAGAAATCTGTGATGTAGATGCTATTACTGTCCTCTTTTTACAAATGAAGAAACAAATCTACGACCTTGGAATCTTTTGTTAGATCATTGTTCACAAGGCTTGCTGTATCATAATACAGATTAACTTTCCCAAAGAGGTCCAAATAAGCATATTGTTTGCATAAGCCTAGAATATTCAATATGATGAAGAAAAGAGAACAAGAAACTTAGAGTCAGATCCTCTGTGTTTAACTTGTGCTCGGCAATTTACCAGATATTTGCACCTATAAAGTTCAGTCTTCTCTATAAAATAAAGATGGTGAGCACTGTGGTTTGTTCTAGGTTGACTGGCCATTCTGGTTTGCTTGATTTTAAGGAGTTTCCCCGGAATGAGGGATTTTCAGTGCTGAAGCTAGGAGAGTCCCAGGCAAAGTAAAAGAACCTATTTGTCGTGAACATCAAGTTGACAACAAAGGGAAAAAGAAGTTTCTAACTTTTTGCACACTAAACATTACATTTCTTCTTATAGACACACGCGTCAATGTGTAGACTATCTTTTGGCTCCTGCCACACCTAACCAATGCTATGCACGTCCACCAACCACTTAACCACCCTTAACAACATGACCATTCTGATCTCCAACTGGAAGCAACACAAACTGAGAGCAGAGAAGGTGCGGGAAATGCCCCTGGACACACAGGCTCCAGGGTACTAGGTGTGAAGGAAGGACTCGGTTTCTTTCAGGCACACTGTGGTTACCTTTGGCTTCTCCCCAGGTCAGCACATCTGAAGCGGCAGGATTATTTTAAATGGTCACAAAGACCGAGTTCTAAAGACCACTGTTTAAGCCTTTGGGTCATTTTTCATAACATTTCCATTCCAAGTAAGCACCACAAACTGATACGGGCAACAAGGTAAGAAAGAACAAACACTTCTTCCTTTGCGATGTTCTGCCATGATTATGCATTCAAGTCCACTAATCTTTTTATCACGTTTAACCAAGTGGGACAATATAGTCTACAGTTCAATTTAGCTATTCATGTAAAAGTGATGCATTTTCATGAAGCTAAATCCATCATGTCCAACATCTGTGACCCTCTGGAGATCCGTGCTGTCACTCACTCTCCCCTACCATGTCACCCGTGTTCCCGCGTGCTCCTGCTGTCACAGCTGCCCTCAGTGCATTTTTCATCAACTAGGGTGAAGCAGTAGAAAATTCCTTAGTGTCACTAACATCCTGGATTCCTTCTCTCAGTTTGCTAATTTGCTCAATTTCCGACCAGGGAAAGACTTGACGGCAGCCCGTGATGGAGAGAAAGGGAAAGTGAAGGTTCTGTGTTTCAATTTAATTAGACAAATGCTGATTGAACATTCATTATTTGGAAAGATTAGTGCTAAATGCTATCAAACACTAATAAATGAATCAGACACAGTCCCTGTCATTTTGAACAGAAGGGAGGAGAGCACAGAAATGATGACACTATAAAGCAGGCCACAAGTAGCAACAGAGAAGAAGTACAGTGGCTTCCAGATGGTGACATCATGTCTCTTTGCAGGGAGGGAGAACCAGGACAGACCTTCCAAAGGGGACATGGGTCCCACGCCTTGAATGAGCCACAGGAGTAAGGCCAAACATGCGGGAAATGGCATTTTGTTAGCTACTCAAATGGGAAGGGAGTCGGGTATGTTCACAGAGTAAGACTTGCAGTTTTAACAAAATTTGTCAGTAATGTATCAAATATAAATGAGCATTAGGTTGGGGCCCCACTAATTAGGTGGAAGTCAAGACAGTGGGCACCTTTGATACGGGTTCATGAGTTTTAACATTATTCTCATGGCAACAGGAAGACAAGAGAAGGTGTTAAACAGGAAGGACACCATTAGTCTAGCTTTCAGAAGAGCAACCAGGAAAAGTCAGATGTGTTTGAAAGAAAGAGAGGAGACAGTGGGGGCCGGGAGCAGTTTGGGAGCAGTAACTAACCCCCAGTGAGCTGTAATACCAGCTCCAAAGAGGTGAGGCCGGGATATGGAGACGAGATAGAAAAACCTACCTGATATCCTATTAATATGCATGTATGTGCAATGTGAGTGTGGTGCGTGTGTGTGTGTGAGTGTGTGTTTGGTAATACTACTGGGATGGAAGAGAAGAGGTGGATGTATTCCTTCCCTCTGCTAACAAAAGAGCACTTTCATTAGAACACAAGAATAAAGAGTAATTCTAATTCAGTATGATTACAGCTAATATTACCACAAACATCTAGACATGTGAGTTGGTGAACATGAGACAGCAAGAAAGGGCAGAGTCAACCCAGAATATTCCAGCAAGTTCCCAAGAGTGTCACAGACTGTAAAAGGTAGGAAACTGTAGTAGAGGTCAGTGGTCACCTACTCTCTCTAATGTAGCTCCTTCCAACACACCTCTCTTCCTCAATAATTTTTTTAGGAATAGCATCTATGTTGCTTGTCACAGACACTGAACAACCATATAAAGTATGTTGTTTGTTTATTAGAATGTGTGTCCCATCACGCCTTGTTTGCTACTGTCACAATAGATATTTGATGAATGAATACGTGAGGGTATTATTACTGCTCAGCCTTGGTCTTCCCCCTCTCAGTATACTTCCCTCCCACTCGCCTCTCATCACACACACGCGCGCACACACACACACACACACACCCCCAACCTCTCACCCAATACCCTCTTCTCCTTGCAGGAGGAGGAAGATAGAGGGCAGGGCAGACACAGCAGAGGTCCCAGCAGCTGGCTACCCAGAATATGAAAGCTTTGCTAACACAGGAGCTGCTCCTACTACTTCTTAAATGAACTCCTCTAGCTTTCTCCTCTGGTATTACCACAACTGCTTCCTTCATTGTGTAAGAAAAACACCCAAAACTCTGCATATGAGTGCGGAAGCAGCTTGGCCAACTACGGGGTTATTAACAGAGAGCCCCTCACATCAGGATGACTCAGGGGAACCAAGATTCAGTATGAGCTGCAATACTCACCTCTTATAAGAAATGACGGTGACTGTGGTAATTAGAACAACAAACAGCAACAATAAAACTGCCCCTCCAGCCACAAAGAGAGTGTATTGGTTATCAGTTTTACCTAGGAAGAAAGAAATATAGTAGGAATTAGGAATTCAGCTAAAGCCAGAAAAAATGGTGGAAAATGAGGAAAAGGAACATTAATCAAAGTAACAATTCAAAACAATCCAATGAAAAAACACGACGAGATGAAGGGAAAAAGACAATTTTTACTTTAGAGTCTTCTAAATATTTGTGATCTCTCATAGATTTTTATGAGTTCCTTGATTCAGCTAAATGTAACCCCTTAAGAAGAACAAGAGTAAACAGATGAAGGGAGGGGCGCCTGGGTGGCTCAGTCGGTTAAACATCCAGCTGGTGATTTCGGCTCGGGGCCATGAGATCGAGCCCCACGTCACACTCCACTCTGATCGTGCAGCCTGATTAAGATTCTCTCTCTCCCTCTTCCCCTCCCCCTCTCCCCACCTCTAAAAAAATAAATATGTAGGTGAAGGGGATTACGAGGTACAAACTTCCAGTTATAAAGCAAATGAGTCACAAGGATGAAAAGTACAGCATAGGGAATACAGTCAACAGTATTATAATAACCTTCCGTGGTGACAGATGGTAACGAGACTTCTCATGGTGACCTTCCATAATGGATGTAATTGTTGAGTCACTGCACTAGACACCCGAAACTCATTTAATCTTGTAGGTCAACTAGACTTCAGTTAAAAATCCAAAAAACAACAAGAATAGAAAGAGTGTATGTTTGATATCCCTTGTGTGTATGTGATATCCCTTCACCTTAAGGAGCTCCCAATCACATACATAAAATCTTTTGTAGAAAAAAAAATAACTGTCAAGAGTACACAAATGAAGGTTACTTTTTAAGTCTGATCTATGAAGCACATTCACACAATGGTATAATGTTAAAAGTAGAATTTAAGAAATATTTCCTCCTCAATCCGAGTTAATGATTAAATGTAATCAGAAAAAATAGGTTACTCCGATGGAGTGCTTAAGCAGAAAGAACAACGGTCCAGAAATCGGCTGTCCTCTCCCGGATTCTGTCGTTCCTTAGCTATGTGAGCTCCAGTCCGTTCCTTCCCCATCTCCGTTGCCTTTCTTCATCTGTCAAGCCATGACAATGACGAAAGTTCTAATGACATCACAGAATTGTGGTTGAGACTCCCATGAGGTAATATTCAAATAAGTGATGAACTACTAGAGCAACATCCCCTCTGAAGCGAGAGGGGCCAGGCTGTGGCATATGAGCAGCACGACTTCCTTCTAACTTTGAGAGTAAAGCCCAATGCTTGTTCTGTAATTCCCATGTGGCCTGCAATCCTATGGCAACCTGAAAATCATGCTTTTCATTGGGTTCTCCCTGATCTTTCCCTCAGATTATTTCTTCCTTCTTGACCTATTATTTAGCTGCAATTTTTTTTCATGATAAGAACTCCAAGTCTACATCCACTCATCTTTTTGTACAAAGTGAAAATAAGTCAAGTAATAAACATTATTTTCATTTTTCAAACTCATTGAGCCTATTAGGTGAAGAAAAGTAGAAAAATGCATGAACTTTAGAGACTTTGTACATACAGTCTAAGAACGGCTTTTGTCCAAATATGATGGAGAAAGGGAAAGCTAAATTTATTCAGAACAAAAATACATTGAACCACTCTTACAAAAGGAACAATGAAATTTTCTCCTTCTCAAATAAGAAATTAAGGTTTTTAAGTTTTTAGTACATTATAAAAAAGAACTGAACAAAATACCTGAAATTATTTTGCATTGTAACACAGGACTATAAAAGGACCACGCTTGCTGTACTGAAATAATTTGAATATCACAGATGCTAAGGTTAAATCAAACAGGCAAATCATGGTGAGGAAATGAAAGGTATGATTAAAATATTCATCGACAGTATTCCAGGAAAATTGTTTAACCACTTTTAAAAATGTTATTTAGACATTTGCTACAGTAAAAAAAAAAAAAAAAATCTGGGTAGACTAAAGTTCTAAATTCTTCATGCAAACATTAGAAGAAAATATAAGTAAGTATTATTTAATCTCTGGAATGAGAAATGGCATAAAAATACATACATAGGGTTGACCAGGTGAGTTGAAAAACATCTATAGTTATAATGATCACAAGCAACATGTCAAGACAAAAAAAAATAGTATATTTAACACATTCTTGCTATTAAGAAAAAGCCGTTGGGGCATCTAGGTGGGGCCTGACTCTGGATTTCAGCTCAGGTCATAATCTCAGGGTTCTGAGATCCACCCCCCTCTCCTGCCCCCAGTGTGGAGCCTACTTGGGATTCTCTTTCTCCCACTCCCTCTGCCCCCTACCACTAGCACAGATACTCTCTCTCTCTCTCTCTAAAAAAGAGAAGGCTACAGGAGGACAATATGAAAGATACAAATAACTTACTATGGAAAAGCACATGAAGAACGAGCTTGTGTAAGAGGCAGGTGGGGTCAGACAGAGCATCTCGAGCTCTCTCTGGAGGAGTAGAAACTACCCCAGCTGCATCCGGAAAGAATTCAGTCTCTGTGTGACAACTCTTTCCCTAGGTGCTTACACATTCGATTAACTACTTTATTCTAAATAAGTGCTCAGAAATGTGAACATAGGGATCTGTAAAACACTTAGAACAATAAAAAGAAAATCCTCATCTCCCTCCAGTAGAAGAGCAAGACGGCCCGGCTGTCATTCTCAAACTCACTTTGCATCCGCATCACCTGCAGGCTTGCGAAACCACAGATTTCAGGGCACCCCCCTCTGAACCTCTGATCCAGAAGGTCCCAGTGGGTCTGCATTTGCAGCTCCCGTGCACCATCTATGTTGCTGACCTGAGGCCCGTTCCTTGAAAACCTTGGCTATAGACACTTGGCTGTTGTGTGTAGGGAATTCCAACGACATGGAAGACTCCTGACTACAGACTTAAAGTTAAGTAAAACTTCAGAACCAGCACCGGCAATTGCACGTGCTGTAATATCTCCATCAAGGATAGGACTTATGGGAAAAGAGTCTGCAAGGGGACAAATGCCAAAATGTTAAAGTGATGATCTCCGGAGAGTGGTACTAAAAGCAATTCTTTCTTTTGGCTTTTTGGTATTTTCCAAACTTTCTAAAGGATTTATTGTTCTTTTGTTAATTAAAAAAAAAAAAACATAGCATAAAAGCATAAGGGTCTGCATGCTTAAAACAAAATAACATGACAAATGTTGTGATATTTAAAGTAGTGGTGATATTTAAAGTACAAGACATAGATAATTCTTTTGTAGAAGTATATTCAGAATCCTTAAGAATTAAGGTGGCATTCCTTATTAAACTTCAATTAAACAGAATTAAGTAGAAACCACTGAAATGTACTGGTTATCTGTGTCACACTCTTCAATTAAAAATCCAAATTTTAAATGTATCCTTCAATATCAAACATGTTACCTCCTTTTAACTTCTTCTAGTAATGTTGACCTGCTGGCGTCCGATCTCCTTATATTCATACATCTTTTAACACATAGTATGTCAAGCCATACTCTAGCATTACAGATGAAATGGCATGTAAAAATGAATTGGGTTCCTGAAGAAAAACACCCACTAGAGCAAAACTGCTTCTCTACTCACAATGCTGCGGACACTCACTTCCCCCGAGCTGGCCCAGACCCCACAGGGGAGGGCTCAGTCCCACAACATCGCTTCCCTCCTCCCACTTCAGATCCGATCACAAATCCAGGCCTCCCCATTCCTGAAGGACCAACCAGCAATACATCCAAGGTTCCCATGATCTCCTCAAGTTCGATAATTTGCTACAACAGCTTGCAGGACTCAGCCAAGCCCTTTACTTACTATCACTAGCTTATTAGAAAAGACCCAACCCTGGAACAACCAATAAGGCAAGCTGATGAGGGCAGGGAGTAGGGATGGATCTCCCATGCTCTCTAGGGACGGGCCACGCTCCCAACACCTCATGTGCTCGGCATCCCAGAAGCCCTCTGACCCTGTCATTTGGGGGGTTTCTGGAGGCTCCATTACATAGGCACAACTAGTTAAATCATTGACCACTGGTGATTAATTCAACCCCAGCCCCTCTTCCCTTTCTCGGCCCCCACGGGCTTAAAGACCCAGCCCTCCCATCCCACGGCTGATTCCTCCGGCACCCAGCCCCCATCCCGAAGCCCTCGAGGTGCTTCCAGCCACCAGCTGCCTCTTGAGCTCGCAAAAAGACCCTCATCCCTCTGGACATTCCAAGGCTTCTAAAAGCTCTTCTGCCAGGAACTGGGGCTAAGACCAAATATTGTAGCAAAAGATGCTTCTAGCACCCCTGTCACTTAGGAAATGATGCGAGTTCAGGAGTTCTGTGAAAGGAACCAGGGGTGGAGATGGTATGTTTTAGTATAGCCCAGTGCCCCATAGATGGAGCTTACATGGTTTTGGAAGGCCCCGGGCAATTTAAAAACACACACGGAATGAGCGTTTTCCCACAGGAAGTAAGGGTAAAAGCACGGGTGTCAGGTGGAGAGTCACTCCCACTCCAGAGACACTGCAATCTAGAACCTCCGGCCGACAGCCTAACCTGTTTGTACTCCTTTCTCCGGCCCCATCGCCGCCTTCACAGGAATCGTCAGTCCCAGGAACCAGGCCGGTGTAGCCACAGCTCACTGGGCCCCACGTGGTTAAAAACAAAAAGGAAAAGCAAAGAGTGTGCCTGCTTCGGGAGTCGATCAATAGTTCCTAACACTCACTTTTGCCTAAATTCTGCTAATAGATCTTAGATTGAGTAATGTCAGCCCTCAAGCCCCTCTCTTAAAGAAAGAATTATTGTGTGTTCTCAGCAGCCACTTTTTTGCTGATTTCTTTTTTTTTTTTCATTTTCATCCCAATGCTGTCTTGATTCATAGGAGGACAAAAGTGTCGTGAACCATAAAGCCATTATTTTCCCTCCCATCAAAAAAGATAAATATAGTTAAAACAATTTAAAGCATGTCAGTGAGATATATAAATGAATAGTTTGCTCCCAGACGGCCACCCTCCAGGCTACATTCCTGCCGGTGACAAGTATTTATGGCT